ACCGTGATGTATTGGTTATTTTCACTCAAAGCCGCACTTCAGTGCAGAGCTGCCTTACTTACTGAATGCCACTGCTGGTCTAATCACCATTATTTCTGTTATGATTTCAGGGGCAGTGCAAGGTTCATTATTTTCTGCAAGGTCTCTGTTGTAAAAGGTCAGTGGTGACGCTTCTTGACAAGCAAATGTACAGTAGCCCTGTGGGCGTGGAGCTTGAAACGCACCAAACCCGCACAACCGCACACATGTTGATTGGGGCGAAGGGTTAACATGTTAACGTGCCGTTCCAGCGCTGCCACTGCAAGATTAGCCTATTAATATCTTCTTCATGCACTTATTATAATTAACTAGCTACAGCTCAACCTGCGCTGGTGAAGTCTTACTCATCATATAAATGTCTCCTTGTCCAGTAGTTCAACCTGTGGGCCCATAATAGCACATATCTTCCTTCTCTAAAGAATATATGATTATTGCAGATGATTCAGTTAGTGAAGAAAAGCACCTTAACGATCCATGTGTCCACAGCAGATTGTGGACACATGGATGATGCTCCATGCTAACTCTTTGGCATATGCTCAGCGGTGGTGGGCGACTCGTTGTGACTCAGAAGTGAGAAACCTGTAACATTAAGCTTAACTTTAGGCAAGATGGTGTGTAATTTAACTGGCGCTGAGCCAAGTAAAGGGAAGGGATTTTTGTGAAAAAAGAAAAAAAAAAAAAAAGGCAGAAGAATCAGAGAACAATAATGTATTTTGAATGCTTTCTTTTAATTGAATCAGCTCATAAAGAAAGTGGGACTTCTTGGCATTAACATTGTGGTCATGATATTCCAGTTTTTTAGTGTTTTATCAAATCCTGAATGCATTCATGTGCGGCGATTTTGCACTAGCGCTGAATGTTCAGTTGCAACATTCAGTGCCAATGCTAATAATAGTTGTTTAGTGCAGTATGAAGTGAGTGTGTGATGATTTTGGATATCAGCATTTCACTCCAGCAGCCTGGGTTTCTGTCACAAACTCTTAAGTTGGTTGTTTCCCATGCAGACTGTGTGATACTAATTCCCGATTAGACACTCTAAGTGACTTAGTAGTTGTGCACAGACTGTATGACTGAATGTGTCATATACAGTATAACTAGTCCATATAGGCCAAAAGTCAAGCAAGATTTAGTACCATGGATACTGCAAACACACACTGATTTAACAGTGACAATAGTTTTAGTCTGAGGCTGTTCAGAGCAGAATCTGCTTGACTGTTTGTTGAAGACTAAACATCAATGTAACCAGATTGGTTCACACTGATGTGCTAACTGTTCTGCTTATGCTAGTAGTGGATGCTAGCTGCTTTGTTTCTACGATCGCAGTGTTAGTGAACTGTCAGTCAGTGACATATCCCATCCCAAATGTGGTCAGTGTTAGCAGCTGCTGCCACTGATACATTTATCATGTTAATCGTAGACATTTTAGGTTTGTTATATCTGCAACCCTCCATGCTTGTTACCATTTCTCTGGGCTATTTTTTTCTGTTGCTTTCGTCTGGCTCTGGCACACTAAGATGACATTTCCATTCTTATATTCTGACATCTCTGCCTTCAAAGCTCTAATTAGAAAAAACGCCAAGGGGAAAAAAATTTGCAAAAAATATCTGATATGTGTGTATGTCTGGAAGCAGGCTAACGTTAGATAGGGCATGATAACAGCAAAACAATACACATCTATTGTATAAACTGTAGGCAAGTATAAGACAATAGATCTGCACACTATGCTAATATGCTACACAGCTATTTAAATAAAGCAATGCTTCGATCTAGCAGAGATCTCTGGTAGCTGTTTTGTCTTAAGAGTTTGATTTTTGATCCAGCACCTGTGGAAGTTTTTTGGATGTTAGTACACCCTGTTACATCTATAAACCCTGACATGTTCCAGGGCCTCTGTCGATGGACCCTTCAAATCATTGAGAACTGTGTCATGATTTACCATACAGTATTTTTTGAAACTGCATTTTAGTGCAACAAGTGAAGAACAGAACAGTTAACTACTTTCTCTCTAAAAATAGCATGCATACTTACTGATTCCAACAAGCATTCGCTGGTGCATGGTAACAATACCAGAACAATTCTGTTTGTTTTTTCCCAGAGGATTACATCACAGACTTTGGAAGAAAGGAAGCGGTTTGCAAAGTACTGTAATAAATATTTTTAATAGCAGTTCATTCCACCAGAATGACTGTATTAACTACAATAAAGCTTAACCATTTGACCTTCTCTCCATATAAAATCTGCTACAGTTTATATCTCAGTGTGAAATCAGTGGCCTACTGTTAATTTGAATGCTTTACCACATGTTGTCCTGCTTCAAAAGAAAATATGACATGGCAGCTTTAATTGAACTCTGTGAGGATGAATAATCATTTATGGTTTCATACTAATTACTCTTTGCCGTGCTCTGAAAAATGATGCACTTATGTCTTTTGTAGTGGTTACCATGTCAACATGTTTAAAGGTCCCGTATTTTCCTCTTTTCCACTTGTGTTTTATTTCAAGTGTTGATCCATAAGAAGATATTTTTATGGTTTTAAGAACCAAAAATGATCTCATTGTAGTTTTACATCTCCTCTCTCAGGCTTCTCTCTGGAGCCCTAATAACAACAAGTCGGTGAGCCAATCAGAAGAGAGGAGGCTCTGAGCCTCTCTTCTGACTGTTTACTGAGTGATCCAATGAAAATATAGCAGATTTCAGGTAAATACTCAGAGAAACCAAATCCTGCAAGGTTGGATGGTGGGTCCAGGTGGGTGGGGCTTTGGACATAGCGGAGAGTGGTGGCTGCTTTGTTATGACATCACAAAGTTACAAAAGTCCTGACGGCTGGTTTTAAGGCCAACCAGTCTTCCAACCTAAACAACGCCATAGGTCGTATTTTCATCCCTCTGATATGACCCATAGGAGTGTCTCCTGAAATAGAGTACTGGACCTTGATTGTCATGATTACAATAATCAACACAATGACCTACCTATGTCTCCATGGTTACTATGATAACAGTAGGTTTAGGCACTAAAACTACTTTGTTAGGTTTAGGAAAAGATTGTGATTTGGGTTAAAATAAGTACTTTTTCATCATTAGACGATCTTTGTTGTCATGGTTACAATAATAACAAGTGGTTAACTTTGTCGAACCTCTCACAGATAATAGAAAAAACAACATAAACTGCCACTTTCACACGGGAATCGAACTCCGCTATTTTGTGACATATTCCTGTGTTTTGTCAACCCATCCATCCACCTCATCCTCCATCTTGACATTGACTTTGTTGCTCTTTATAATACGTCACCGCACTTTTTCCTTTGCTCCTGTCATAATTACTACCACTAGATGTTGTCTAATAAGAAAACCAAACTATGGGTCATAATAACCTGCTGCACAGTTGACTGATGGACTCATTCTTTCCAAGAGGACAGTTTCTGAATACAGGCTGTGTGCATTTCTCTGTGGACTGAGCACTTTGATACTAGTATTAATACAGAACCTAGACCTGCTTTATGATCAAAAAAGACATGGACATCTACCTTTATACAAAATAGGACCTTTAAATCCACAGTATTTATTATATGTATGCTTGATATGTGTTTTGTGTCAGCTATTAAAGTCTATTTATCTAATGACTTTTATTTATTCATGTTGTTTTTCTGAGATGCTTTTGGTTGATGTCAGACTTTGCTGGTCTGTTGATCATCAGTGTCCTATGTGTGCATGGTGAATGGGCACATGTGTGAATGCATGGCTGTGTTTGTAAGGATTCATCTACCCCATCTCTCCTAACAAGTACTGAAATAATAATGAGAACATTGGTTGCTTCTGAGTGGGGCACATAAGAGAGATGGAAGAGGAAGAGGGGGTAGTAGATAGAAATAGAGAAGAAACTGAAGAGAAATTGAAGCAAAATGCTGAGCTGGACACAACTGAAATCTATATTCTGACACCTCGAATGAAACTTTTTGTGGGTTTTGTGTCTGTCTCAAATAGAACTAGTCAACAAAGTATTTTTTCTTGAGAAAGGAAAATAGGTGTGTGCAATCTGCAGACACATCTGCAGGAAGAGCAATGATATCATAAAGCAAAATGACAGTTCGTGAATTTCCCTATATGTCCTCTTTGTGATATTGAGATATTACAGGTTGTCTCACTGCTGGCTCGTTCACATCTGCGTTTTCTTTCACACACTTCCTGATGGAACAAAAGAAGAAGAACATGGACTTCTCTGGATTCCTCTCTTCTCTGTAAACTCGTCAGGCGCAGCCGCAGCTGCTGGGAAGTGAAGTGTTCAGGGTGAGTTTGAATGTGTCTTGATTGCAGCTGGCCACTCCTCAGAGAGATCAGATTAAATGCTGTGAAGCCAATATGAGCTCGGCCTGTTGTCCTCAAGATGGATAACTCAGCCTGGCCCCTCATCGCCTCGCTATATAAAGGTGCAATAAATGCCAGGCTGCTTTTACTGAGTACTTATCTATTAAGTGTGATTGCGCCATATGAGCTCACTGCTTCAGATTTTTTAAATCTTCATTTCAAGGTAGCACTATGTAAAATAACCTTCTCTAATTTCTTTAAATGATCCACTCATTTTTAAAAGTGCATCCAATTTAGTGCATTAATGGATTCACTTATTGCTTTCATCTTGTGCATAAACTGGTAGGATCTGATTTGATGTGAAGGGAGAGATCAGAGAAAATTTCACAAGTGTGATTTGATGACTTTAAAATGAAAAAGTGAAAAAGATTGGTATAATTTTAAACAAGTAATAACTCTACAGTTCTACATTGAATGTTTTCAACACAATATGGGAAGAAAAATATCTTTGCAAACAAGATTTTCTGAAACACACACAGAAAAAAAGATTTAAACGCATACAATGTTGAAATCATAATGATAGTAATGATATAATGATAACAGATGACAGAGATTAATATGGTCGTTTCAGTGTTTTAATTGCATGCTGCAGTTTCAAGTTCAAAGTTTTCTTGGTACAAAATAATTCATGCAGCATCAGTGGTTTCAAAAGTGCAAAACGGGTCCAAAAATCACTTTACAGATCAATTAGCGAGCATGCCAAACAGGACCAGAACCACCCCATAAAGCTGTGACGGAATCTGTTGAAAAACGTGCAAGTTTTCAGTACTTAAGAGCATTTACAAAACGAGACCAAGAAAAATACTTTGTATAGAGAATACCCACATATCCATCAAGTCCACGGAGTACACTGGCAGACCCACAATCATGCTTTTGACAGTTTTAAAAACATTCATTAACGATCATTTCAAATTTACAAAAAAGGAAGAAAAAAAAAACTACACAAAATTGAGGTAACCGCTTGTAAACATTTTCGTCACTTTGTTCAAGTTGGCAAAATTGAAATTCACTCAATAGATTCAACAGATCGGCCCACGTGTAAACAAATGCCTGCTTACGCACAAACTTTACGCACAAACATTGGTCGCTGGACTACTTTCCTGTGGTCATTTGCGGAAGGAAATGTGAAGTTTTTGCATATCTTTCCTCACTAGGACACAGAGAGAAAGAGAGAGCGTCTTTTAAACTACATGCAGGTGCAGGTCTTGACCTGCGGCTGGAAATGCGCACTAGATCCTCATACCGGATCTCCGCTCCAGTTCTCCACTTTACCTGCCTCCCCCTGTTCTAGCTGAGCCCGATCATGACCGTCTCCACGTCTTTGGAGGGTCTCCGGTCCTTCACCAGGAAGTTGATCATGCTCTCCGATTTGATCATCAGGTTGCACCCGAGGAAAAATATACCGAATACGACGGTGAGCGACAGTACGCACAGCACCGCGATCTGCACCACACGCATAACAAATAGTTTGCGCTCGTCTTGCAGCAGCACTCCGCCATCGCCGGTCACCACGTTGTCGGTGCCATTGCCGGAGTAAGTCGCCAGAGTCCCGGCGAGGGTCTGACTCCCGTTAAACAGTGCGCCCTGGGTCACATCGAAGAAGGAGACGTTCATGTTTCCTTGTGGGTTATCAGCAGATAGACACGCGACTCCACTTGGCAGGCACACAGTCTCACCACAAAACCTGGAGTCCAAGCAAAACTTTGCGTCATGTGACTGTTCAGACGAAAATAAGAGGAAATAAAAGAAATAAAATAAAAAAGCAGGCTGTTAAAGTCCAGGTTTACAGGCAAACACCGAGTTTTGTACAGCTCCGGCGCGTAACGACCACATCCACATCACCGGACTGTCTCTTGCAGTCAAGGAGGGTCTCATCAGGTGCAACCAAAAGTAAGTTTCTACAAGTTAAATTCCGCGTTTTTGTCTGACTCTCAGTGAGTCTTCTTAGGCAGCGCGCAAGGTGCAAAACGTGTTTCCCTCTGGTGTAATAGGAGACAGTCCCTGTGCTCGCCTGCGAGCGCTTCTTTTGTGCCAAGTCTCTGGTGCGTTTTAAAGTGATGATGAGCTCCCCGTGGACCACACCACCACTCATCACCAGGGGATGTAGTCAGGTGGCCGCAGATAATGTGCTGCTCCTCAGATGTACAAAAAGAGAATTTGAAGTCTATGGCATTCAGTCTACTTAGTATTTTCTTATTTTCTTGTGAGTAACGACCAATAAAGAACAATAAGAGAACAAATAGATCTTTCTTAAATAAGAGTTTACTATTAGATGCACATTTTATTTGTCATGTTTTTTTTTCTGGGGGAAGTGTAGCTATTCTCTCCCCCCTCCCTTTTCCCCAGGAAACAGGATGTTTCCTGAACATTCTTCAACAAGTGGATACATTTCCTACAAGTGGTAGTTCCTGCCAGTCTGTTTAGTCAAGAATATTAAGGACTGAGGCTAAATGACTCATAAACATGGATATTTTGAGTGCTTCAGAAGTGTGCTCTTCTGAAACCCACTTAGCACTCATTTATGCACATCAGTGACGCCTGAGAGCCTCCCCGATATTGATTCAGACTTATATTAGCTTTAAAGGGTTCACATGAAAGTGTTGAAAATCCTTTAAGACCTGAAAACATTCAACATTCAGTTGGAATCAATATGAGAAGCAGATCGTTATCTGCACTGAAAAAACAATTAAAACTTTTATAGGTATTTATAGAGTTTAATGTCTGTTGCTTAGGAAACTGTCACTGTGACTCCCAGCCCTGAGAGATGGACCAATAAAGGCACAGCATGCTATAGTTGAGAAATGAAGACATGAATTAATAAATCATGATTGAACCATGGCAAATATTTATCAGAAATATTGGCTCTGCTGCTTTCACTGCACCTGCTGTTTCCTTCCCTATGGGCAGCAGCTGAAATGAAACCTCCCAACCCCACCTCACCCCACTCCACCCCACCCCACCTGAACAGCAGACAGCTTTGGTTTTATTGAACTGTGTTATTCAATTTATCAGTTTGTCTTTCAAGTGTCATTGTGTGGAACTGTTGCCCCACTGAAGTGGAGATGAAGCCCCTCCACCCTGAACTGTAAAGAAAAATTCCTCAGTGCAAATATACAATTTGATGAATGAACTGAAAATAGAAGTTTCATATCATTAGTGATTCTTAGTGCAAAAAGTATTATTCTATCTAAATGATGCTGCATTTATTGTCCCTCATCACTCTCTTCATGCATAATGTGAGGTTTCATTTTATGAGGTCAATACTTTATTGACAGGCTGCATGAAACAGCAGTCAGTCGGTCTGGGATTCTTTGAGTCATCCCTCTTAACGTTGGCAGGTAATTTGTCATAATTAGCTCCTATAATTTAAAATAATTTGAGGTAATTTTCTTACCAGATTACTTCTAAATATTGTTAATAATATAAGTTGACTTCCATCTGCGTACAAAGCCCATTTGAAGATTCTGACTGCCATGTTTTCTTATGTTGGATCTATTTCATACAATGAGACATCAAGACAAGTTTTTGTACTCGATGGATGGAAATGTGCCCACGGGGTTTGAAAGTTGCCCAAGATAATGATGATAATGATGCGATGGATGTGATTTTAGTTTGTGTTTTCAAATGTCGAATTCATGAAAATATCTGTGCAGTTTGTAAGTGCTGTGAGGAGGGAGGAACATCAAAATGAGGTAGACTGTGCACTGATTTGATATTCATTATCTAATTCCACAGCCAAATGTTAACAGCAGTTAATATCATGCCATATGTAAACACACTCACACATGTCTTTTCCTATTTTATTCTAATACCTCACTTGTCCAGGATGAAATTTAACAGTTGAGGTGATGAACTTGGACAGGGTAATAAAAAAAATAAATTAAAAAAAAAACTGCCTCAGACATTTTGAAATGACTCCCCAAGACTTGTCAGTGGAGCCTGTCAGATTAATCTGCTGTTTGTCTAAAAACAAAGGCCATGAAATTCAATCTGGGATGCTCCTGGCGTCTGGGTAAGCAGCTTTCAGCCACCGCCTGACAAGCATGTGTACAAACAATGATTAGCTCCATCCACAAATACCTTTCATAAGCCTGGAGGTACAGTTTACTTGAAGATCATTTATTAATGTTCGGCTAACAGAGAAACAAGGAGTATTCTGTGTGTGTGCACAATAAAATCAAATAATCTCATTAGCCTTTGGATTTGATTACTGCAAATTAATTGGCAGCATGTGAATCAATGCTATGCGATTTGATTCTGTTCTATTATTCATTGCAGTGTGATTATGGAAAGTAGCTTGTACTTACACTTCATCTTCTCTGTCAATATGTAAATCCTCCGCTACAGTTAAAACCTTACAATGAACCCCACAACTACAAAACTTGAAAGAGTTTACAAATGAGGAGGAAGTGATTGTGAAGTCAAGGAGGAGGAGACCTCGCCGAACGTGTTCCCCTTCAGAAGTGATTATGAAAATCTTTTTGAAAACTAAATTAAATGTCTTTCAAGAAGTTTTGCCCTTTGAAAAGCCTCATAGACTGACGAACCTGTTGCTGATGTATAACTTCAAACTCTTTGGAGCAGCACACCGAGGAAATGTTGCGAACGCTCCATATTTCATTGACGCACCGCTCACTGGCAGAGAGACGACTCTGACTAGCGCTTCCTGTTGATATCGCTGTATATGAAGATATACAGTATTCATATGAGGATGCATATAGACATGAATGTGAGTGTCTGACTTGTTCCTAAGCAACAGTAGACCTGTGAGCCCAGTGACAGATGGTTGGTGAAGTTATTTTGGTTTAGAGGAGAAGGAGAGGGAGGGAGCGATGAGGTGCCTGGACGAAGGAGAGAGGATGGGGGGGGGGGGGGGTTTCCACTTAACATGAGGGAATTGGCAGCCTAGCAACACAAACTAAGTGAAGACATCCCTAGCAACAAGGAGGTGGTGTTTGACCCTCTACCTACCTCCCCTCTGCTCCTTACCCCTTCATCATTTTTGTTCGTGGTGCCGCCAGGAGCTGGCATGAATCAAAACGGACACGCCCCTTTCAAACCCCTTCACCCCAGAGTGAACACACTTCCCTCACAACCCCCCCCCCCCCCCCCCCCTCTTTTCAATGAACAGATTCCCCCAGAAGATGTCCCGTTATTAACTGATTAAAGCCGACACAGGACCGAGAGGCAGTCGCCTTGTCTCTGTGTGTGTGTGTGTGTGTGTGTGTGTGTGTGTGTGTGTGTGTACAGCCAGGAAACACCAGAGAGAGTAACAAGCACACTGAAAAGAAAGTGAGTTTCAGCTGTTAAGTATGAATAAATCAAGTATCACAAGATGCAGTTAAAGTGCTGGAGGTCATGTTGTGATCTTAAGGGGTTTGCCACCTTTGGGGACTCTAAATCACGCACATGTAAACACAGTCATTTATTACACACTGATACAGATCTCAGGGGTGCAGTGCCACAGCAGACTGGTTCCACACATCCACCCCACACTAAGAAACCATCAGTCATTAAAGGTACTTTAAGGAGGTAATGACTTCATTGCTTTTGTTTTGCTTTTCTTTGCAGGCAGATATTAGACTCCCTGTGTGCCTCACCTATTGCAGCCTGTCTGCCTGTCTGCCTGTCTGTCTGTCTGAATGGCTGGAGAAAATCTGTTTGTCTGAGATACACATTACAGATCTCATGAATCTAATTGGAAAAAACAAAACAAAACAAACCTCGCTCTGATTCTGCAGTGTAGACATCTCATGCACTCAGCCGCTACCCATTAACCTCATTTCCATTTAAACACCTCTCCACATCACAGTAACGCTGAGGCTGCCGTGATCTGTCTTGTCTTTGCTGTTCCTTCATTTGCCACATTCACCCAGTTTGTGTTCTCTGTTCCCTCAGCTTCTCTCTTTCCAGCTGAACAGCAGGCTACATTAGACTTCTCACCACTCTGAAGTCTGGATGTGCTTTAAACAAAAAAAAGAAGCAAGAACAGAAAAGCCCTCTTCCATTTCTCCATCCCTCATGTGTTCTCAGTTGTATGTTTATTTATTTATTTATTTTTACTTTCTCCTCATATAAGCGGTCGCCCCCTCTGAGAGGGAATTTAAGCTGCAGATCCAGAGGGGCCGGAGGAGGAGGCTGATCAGATAGCAAAGCATCACAACACAAATACACATTGTCAAACATCAGCGACTCTGGGGCACATTTCATAAGCCGGCCAACCCTTTCACCTGAGAAAAACTCTCATCTCCCTACTTGACCCCACTCCACCTTCCGCCTGTTAAACCCAGCAAAGCAGGGAAGGGTAAGCCAGGTGTAGCTAACCAAACACAGATTTTGTCTGAGAGCGATTCCGTTTTGATATTGGCTCCCTCTGCAACGGCGTTCTCAGACTCAGTGAAAAGCTTAAAGGGCTCCAGATAGATATGTAACACAGGTCAGGACCCCCCCCTTTCCTCCTCCAGCAACCCCCCTCCTTCTTGCTACTTGTTCTGTCTTAATTGGCTGCCATCTGACCCATTCTCTGGCTTTTTACACAGGACAACTGGCGCTATGCTCTTCCCAGAATGCCATTCATCTGTGGAGGTGGTCGCCGCAGAGGGCAACGGAACCAATAGGTTCAAATCAGTCAATACAAGAGAGGGAGTTTGATTGTCCACAGTGTATCACCTGCACCATTCACCCACACCAAGAGCTTAATGCCAGCGGCAGAAGAGTTGACTATTATTGCTTTTCTACTTACTTCTCTATTTCTGTCATTTCTTCTAGCTGCAGTTCTTGGACACGGGTGGCAGTAACTTAGCAACCAGCTGCAGAATAAGAGCAGGGCAAAGGGATAAAGATTCAATAAATGGACAAGTGCAGAGATAAGAAGCATTGTCTGCTTTTACAAGCCCCACCACGCACATACACACCACCACCACCGCAACACCGCACACTTCCCAAAGTTCATTTCTTTAGGGCAATCTTAGCTTTTATCCCATTTTCTGCCTCATTTTCTTTATACCCCCCCCCCCCCCCCCCCCCTCCTTGTTTTAGAAGCTGGCAAATTTCCACCTGCTCCATCATTCACTGAAATGGGAAGTTTTCTGGGGCAGACACAAACAGACTCATACACTCAGTGAGGACAGAGAGCTGTTTCAAGGAACGCATATAACACGCCAATAGCTCGTCATTTTGGAGCCTGAAGCCTGAAAAGAAGGAAGGAAGGAAGGAAATTACTGACTATTCATGTTGACTTCCATTATTGTGTGGACCCTATCATATAGTAGGTCATGTTTTCCCACTAGGGGTCCTTCTATCACAACTTAAAGTTTACTTCAAGTTTTTGTGGTAATTCTTTCAGTGTCTCACTTGTACTTTGCATCCCTGCACTGGCAAATATCGCATTGAGTTTAAGGTTCTTTTATTTGTTCTTGAAAGATTGAAACGGTCTGGCGCCCCAGTAGCCTACATTTCTGAGCTCCTCTACCCCCTTTCCATCCCCAGATCTCCCAGATCCTCAGACCAGCTGCTCCTGGCTGTCCCTCGGTCGAGGCTGAGGGGAAAGGGGGATCGTGCGTTCACTGTGGCTGTGTTCCCCCTCCATGGACACTTTCAAGGTTAAACTGAAAACCCAAATGTTGTCTCAGGCTTTTGAGTTTCCTTAATGTTTTGTTTTTTCACTTTTATCCTTGTGTTTTATATTGTAAACTGTTCCCTGTCTGTCTTATAAATGTGGGATAGTTTGTCATCTCAAATATTCTCGCCTTGCTTTTTGTTTCCTTATGGCTGTTGCCATATTATTCTATTTTCTTTGTATTTTATCAAACAGCACTTTGGTCAACTCTGGTTGTTTTAAATTTGCTTTATAAATAAACTTGACTTGATTGAATCAAACAAATTTGATTTGATTTTGAAGCCAGTTCTAAGTGGATATTCAGGGTTTCATGGCAGGATTATCTATAGGTTTTTGTGCAGTTTATCTATTAACTGTTATGCTGTTCTCTCTTCAGTCCAGTAGAGGGCAGGGTGACATGCCAAGCGGTTTACATTTAATAGGACTAAGTCACTTTATACCTCTTTACTGAACGAGAGAAGCGCTGTGTGGTCTCAGATGAACTGTATCTGCAGCAGCAGCAACTGTGCTGGAAGCAGCATCAAACTCCTGAGCACCGCAGGCATGTGTCCAACATGCTGCCCATCTCCAGGATTTAATACCACCGCCACATTAAGTTCAATATTCGCCCTACCACCGCAGAGATATTCCCGCACTAATTCTAACCATGTTCTCAGTTTGCAGTAAGTTCACAAAATAATAGACATGAATGTGCATTAATGTTAGTGTTGATGGTCAAGTCGCAGCTGAAACAGAGGTCAACTGGAAAAAGGTCAGTATTAGTGAATGTAGTGGTTGCTAAGTGACTGTGCAGAAGTTAAAGAAAAAAATGTAGTAAATCACTTATTAATAGATATTCATAATGTGGCATTGTGTTCTAAAGTCGCAGTTTGATTGATTTCCTTTGTATAGTTTAATTATGAAGTAAACTAAAGCTAAAATACATCCATTTGATGTAGAGACCTAAAGAATCTGTCAAGCTGTTTCTTGAGAAAACGTAATAAAACCACAGTGGTGGTTAAAGTCTGTCACTGTTTGAAAATGAAGTGAAATGAAGCAGCTTTGAGTGATTTGTCGTGATCAGTCAAGGTTGTGTTAAAGGGTGATGGTAGCAGAGAGAGACGGGTCTCTGCATGTCAAACACGGAGCTGACTGAGGGGAAAGAGTTTCATGTATGAGGTAAAGCTGTGTGACCCAACATGCGTTCAGTCAAGTCAAGAATGAGGAAAGGCGTTCAAGTTGAAGTGAACAAGCCCACAGGGCGCACAGACTGCTCGTGTCAGCTCGGCTCCGTTACTCTTCAGCCATGGGGACGTTTTTAAACCGTCAAGTGATCCTGTTTCTCTTCTTGCTGTCGGCATCACAAGTTTTCGGTAAGATGTTTTTTATTCTTTGGGCAACTTTTAAAAGTTGCTCACCTGCTCAGGCGGGCTGGAGGGGGGAGGGGGGGGGGGGCGTACAACCCGAGTTGTAGGGCATCCCCGAAGGTATATATTTTACTTTATATGTGCTGATGGTAAAAGTTGTTCAATATAGGCTAATGTTCTCTAATAAGAGTAATTCACTGTTGGTTGACGTGAATGGAGCCGCAGTGCTGGTTGTAATTGCGCTGCTCCGCTGGAGCTTTCTCCACCTTTCCTTATAAGGGAGTGAAAACTGTTTCCTAGAGCTGGGCTCCTCCACAGACTCAGTCACTTCAAGGATTTCTTTTTTTTTTCTTTTTTCTTTAATTGTCAGTATATAACTGAGTGTACATATACAGTATATATGTGTACTTCATGGGTTTACGTTCTCTTAATTAAGCCAAAAACCAACCTAACGAATAAATAAATGAATAAAAAAAACACTGGCAGACTTTTCTACAGTCTGTAGCCTACCGTTGGGTTTATTTGGAATAGCTCAAGTGCTGTAACTGAAGAATCATATATGTGTCTTATCAAATCCATCAGTTGTGTGTATTTACATTAGGAGCCCTTTTTAGCCAGTTGATTTGAGTGTTTATATGATGTCAGGCAGATATTCAAGTTTTCATATATCTTCTTTCAGATTGTTGATCTTTACTCATATTTCACACTTTTTACATGGGTGAATTAACATTAGTGACTGTGCTCTTGTGTTTAGCTCAAGTGAGCCACACCCATAGACCACACTAGATAACAGATAGAGTTTGGTATTAATGTATGTGTGCGGACTTACATCGAATAACAGGTTTGGTGCAGTTTGCTAACATACTCAAATAACTTTCTGAGAGCATAATGAGGATTGGCATTATTAATGTAGTGGAGACTTGAAAAAGCATTTTCACGTGTGAACAGCGCTCTTGTGAAAGACAGAACCTGATAGCCATGGTATCAGTGTTTATGGTTGGTTGGTTGGTTGGTTAGAGTTGCATAATACTTTCGATCCAATTCTTTATAAATGTGTCACTGTGCTTCAACCATGACTCTATATAAGGAAAGAAGAAATGTATTTTGTGTTACATGTGTTGTTGCCATTATTGTCAAAGGTTTCAACATCTGCACATCACGAGGAGTCACCACTTGTCGACAGTGCTTGGCTGTTCACCCCAGCTGTGCATGGTGCTTTCAGGAGGTAAAAACACAACACACATACACATTGTGTCTAGTCACATCATCGCTCAGTGCAGCAAGTTGCAACAGAAACCCTCATTTCCCAACTGCATTCTTCTTGTTGCTGTTTGTTCAGCTTGACTCCTCAACATGCTCTCAACAGACTCTTAATGTTGCTCATAGAGTACTTTAATACAAGTAAGACCATTTCACAAAAATACAGACTGACTCATTTTAAGCCAGAAACATTAAACACCTTTTAAGTACACAGGCTAACTCGGGCCTTAGACCAATGTTACCAGTGCTGGTGTTATTGATTGTGGTAACAATCAATAACACCAGCACTGACCACAAGCACGAAACAACAAAAAACAGGAAAACAGTGGTTTGCTAACACAGTTATGGAGAGAGCGAAGAGAAGGGGACAGTTTGTAAACACCAAATCAGACTCTTCTTTTTATTGTTTCACTCCTCAAGTAAAATGTCTTTGTAACTGTTGAATTCTTCCAAAAGACAAACATTTTCTGCTGGAGTAAACAGAGCTGAGTGGTTGGATGTGGTTCCTCTGTTGGCCTTTTATTTTTTATTTTTTTTGAAAAAAGTCTTAATTTTACTCAGAATTCATTGAGAATTCAGACGTCTATCTGAAGTCTATTTGTAATATCTAAGCAACGGTAAAAAAGTCTGTCTTTGTGAAACCAGCCCCGGTGCATGGGAGAGACACAGAAGCCCGCTATTGGGTGGATAAAGCAACAAACCAAAAATGCTTTTTCCTATTCATTCTCTTTTATGTAATGGTCCTTTATTGACTTATCAATTCCTTGAATGCTTAACTTATCGGATGTGGTTGTTTAAGGAATTTGGTAAGGGGGGATCCAGTGTGTCCCGCTGCGACCTGAAGCAGAACCTGCTGGAAGGAGGGTGCAGTACGACGTCTCTGGAGTTTCCCTCCAGCACAATGACTATTGAGGAGGATGTCCCGCTCAGCGACAAGGCCTCGGGCACAGCTGACGATGTCATTCAGATAAAACCTCAGAGACTTCACATGGTACTACGACCAGGTACTTTTACACGCATCAGATATCACATTTATCAGACACTATCAACCGTACAAAACCAGATACATGCATTGGTGCCCTTGCACGCCTACAGGACCATTACTAATGTTCTACATGATCTACTGTAATGGTCTGATGCAGCTGAGCTGGTTTTTATACCATATTATTAGTTAATATTTCATCTTTTCCACTGAAAGGTCGAGAGACACCTCTTGAGCTCATTTAACCTGCAGTGCAATTTATCTGATTCATCCTGTGTAACGTCTCCTCCTCCCGCTCCTCCCGCTCCTCCCGCTCCTCCCTCTCCTCCCTCTCCTCCCGCCCTCTACTCTTTCCCGCTCAGGCGATACCAAGCGTTTCACTGTGACAGTGAAGCAGGTGGAGGATTACCCAGTGGACCTCTACTATCTGATGGATCTTTCCTTTTCAATGAAGGACGACTTGGCTCGCCTTCAGACTCTGGGCAGTGAGCTCGCTGTGACCATGGGCCGCACCACAAGCAACCTACGCATGGGGTTTGGAGCCTTTGTGGACAAGACCATGTCCCCTTACATGTACACCTATCCTCCAGAGGCAGTCACAAACCCTTGCTATGGGTAGGTGGGGAGGCTTTGGTTGCTGTTATGTTATGAGTGGGAAAAGAAGCCGAGGTGGAGATTTTCTAATATTCTGAGACCTGTCCAGAGTTTAACAACTTCACTTTTTTTTTTTTCCTTCACTGATTTCTTATCCACCTCTCACCTGTTCAATATATGCAGACTTGATGAAAAATGCCAGGCTCAGTTCGGGTTCAAGCACGTGCTGCAGCTGACGGATAAGGTAGCGCGCTTCACTGAGGAGGTGGAGAAACAGGATGTGTCTAGAAATAGAGATGCTCCAGAGGGTGGATTTGATGCTGTCATGCAGGCTGTGGTGTGCAAGGTATAAAAACTGTTCACAACTGATCACACAGAGATACACACACATACACACACACATGCGCAGCGATGTGCAGAGCTGAGTGTGTGCATAACTAAACTGCTCTTTCCTTCACTAACTTTACTTGATTTTTACTTGTCAATCAAATCTTTAGGAGAAAATTGGCTGGCGCCCGGATGCCTCACACCTACTGGTGTTCACCACCGATGCCAAAACTCACACCGCACTGGATGGGCGTATAGCAGGCATCGTGCAGCCCAATGATGGAAAGTGTCACCTTGATAATGACAACATTTACAACAAATCTACTGTGCTGGTAAAGGCAGACATTTCCATAATTCACAACGCTTTTTATTAGTCATCTGAGTTGTTGGCTTCTGCTGAAAACCATTTCCTTCCTGTGTCCTCCAGGACTATCCCTCCTTGGCGCTCATGACCGAGAAAATGTCTGAAAACAACATCAATTTAATTTTTGCCGTGACCAGCTTTGTGGTGCCGCTCTACAGCTGCTTGTGTCTCAGCGTGAATTTATTTATTTTAACTTTTTATTTGTAAAAACTCAAAAACTCATCTTCCCCGCCACGTGCGTCTCCCCAGTCGTACAGTCAGCTCATCCCGGGCACGACCGTGGGGACGCTGTCCGATGACTCTGGGAACGTTATTCAGCTCATTGAAGAGGCTTATGCGGTAAGAGCTCCCTGAGTTCAACACAGTGAGGTGAACATGCAAATGAATGTTATTTATTTCATCTGTGTAATACAACCAACTAAATAAAGTGTGATTGATAAATTTATGTTGAGCAGAAAATTCGCTCTAATATGGAGCTGGAGCTGCTGGGAGTCCCCGAGGAGTTGAATCTCTCCTTCAATGCCACTTGCCTGAATGGGGAGGTCATCCAGGGACTCAGGTCCTGCTCTGGCCTCAAGATCGGAGACACGGTACGTAGCAGCTGAGATGCTGATAATGTCCCACATCTGGTGTCGACATGGAGCAGCTGTAGAATGGATGCACATAGGCTGCAGAATACCAGTCACACCAGGAATCAGGATCACACACACACACACACACACACACACACACACACACACACACACACAGTGGCAGGCTCTCTCACAGCTACATACACCCACACAGATTGTCACAGAGACATGTCCTCCTCTTCAGGTGTCATTCAGCGTGGACGCTCAGTTGCGTGGCTGCCCTAAGGAGAAGAGTCGCACTTTTACCATCAAACCTCGGGGGTTCAAGGATACCCTGGAGGTCAGGGTGGACTTCGCCTGCGGTTGCGACTGTGAGGCAGCGGCAGAAGCCAACAGCCCCCTCTGTAACAGCAACGGGACCTACGAGTGCGGCGTGTGCCAGTGTCACCAGGGTCGTCTGGGCCCTCGATGCGACTGCTCAGTGGAGGACTACAGCCAAACCGACGACGTTAACTGCATCCCGAAGCCGGGCAGCCCGATCTGCAGTGGCAAAGGCAACTGTTTGTGTGGACAGTGCTCCTGCCATACAAACGAATACGGTCAGGTGTGGGGAAAGTACTGCGAGTGTGACGACTTCAGCTGCGCGCACTTCAAAGAGGCGCTCTGCTCCAGTGAGTAAATTTCTTCTTTCTGTCATGTCCAGTGAAGTGACATGTAACAGGTGCTCTTGACGCTCTGGTAGGCAATCATGTCAACCCCTAAAAATTCAAGGCGCACTGCTTTGTCATGGTAAGAAGGTTTTTATTATGGCCTTTATTATATACTTTGGGGCGGCGGCGGCTCAGGAGGTGGAGCAGGAGGTCCACTAATAAGAAGGTCAGTGGTTCGATCCCCGGCTCCTCCAGTCCACGTGTTGGAGGGCAAGATACTGAACCCCAAATTTCCCCTGATGGCTGATCCGTCAGTGTGCGGGTGTGTATGTAATGTATGAATGTGTGAGTGAGTGTGGCGAATGTATTGTAAAGAGCTTTGAGTGGTTGATAAGAAAAGCCTTATACACTGTAAGTACAGTCCATTTCCCAATAGGGGCTGAATGCTTAAAAAACAAGACCAGCATCTACTGACGTCACGCTGGTCTTTCTTGGGGTCAGAACATTCCCTTTATTTCATGCCCCTGTTAGCAGGAAAGATGAGGTCGCCCTTCCCTTCCTTTTCCCTCCTATCAGTCCGTAAACACACCTTAGTCAGTTTACATAGTTTCCTGTTACTCAGCTTGACAAATGAAACAATCCATAGCCTTTTCAAAGCAAATGCCCCATTATTATTACTGTCTTTGCTTGCTTGTAAAAGCCACATAAATAATTGCATACTTCGACTGCTGAGCATAAACAGTAAAGCTTACAAATGACCAGCTCGCAGTCGGAGAACACACCCAATTAGTGCTGCCTGAGTGTCCTTATCACTCACAGCGGTGGGGCACGATGTTCTATCGCTCCCTACTACAAGTCTGCACAGCTCAGTGCACAGTTACTCAATCACGGTGATAAAACTTTAATAGGCTTTGTCACTGGGCAATGTAATGTAAAAGCAGCTTGAGTCTGTGATTATAAGGAGGAGGAGCATAGGAATAGCAGAATGGGAAAACTGTTGTTTTATCTTTACATACATTAAGCAGAGCAAACTTTAAATGTGCATATTAACACTGATTTAAATGGAGATAAGATTGCCCTGCTTTATCTGACAAAATAATGTCACCAGTGTCATCTTGTCCTGTAACACGCCTCGAGTTTGAAAGAAGTGGGTGATTACTAAGCAGGCAGGGGTCTAAAAGATGCTATCAAGTTGAATCATGGGAAGGGTAGGAGCTTGATCGATACCAGGGATGAAATGTCAACATATCTCAGCCTTTACTCCATTGAGACCCCCACATTTTCCCCCTGTGGGTGCACCATTACTTAAGGAGTAGATGTTACCAGGAATTTGGTAGGCTTGTATCAACAGGGAGAGGACTGGAGTCTTTCTAAATGAAGGTTGTTTGTCTGAGAGACAGGTATTAAAGTTATTCAAGGATGACACCAAGGGGCTCGGGGTGCAGACACTCACCGAATCCACACACCCACGCACCTACACAGACAAAACCATAACCGCTTTAAGAGAGTCCACAGAGCTCAATTTTGGACCACTAAATCGCTGTGTCTCAATACAGTCATGACAGTCTTTGTCTTTCAAGAACAAGCGTCCCTCGGCCCCAGCTCAATTGGAGCTACGAAAAGCTCCATCTCTGTGATATTCCCTGTGGCTGTGTATTTCCTCCTCTGCCGAGGGGGGACTGGTGCAGGGCCAGGGAGCAGCAGTCAGCGAGCACAGCCCCAGGGCCCATAAATATGAGGACAGAGGGAACAGGAAAGTTTGCATTCCTCTCCTGGCAATTTGCCCAACCTCTTCTCTCTAAAGCCTGTCTCTATCTCCGCAGTTCCCTCTCTTCTTCCAGCTGTGTACCGTTCTGTTTAAACTGTTCTGTCTTCATCCCTGCTTCTATCCTTTTATCATGGCCCCCACGTTCGGGCTCTCTAAAGCCCGGCCATGTGATTAATGGGACGTATTACTGTGCAGTCTCACAGCGAGAGCAGGATGATGTAAACCTAAAAACTCCCTTTTATGTGTGTGAATCAACTTAATGGGATCAGGATAATGAGAACAAGACAGTTACTAACTCTACTACTACTCTTGTCAAGTTTAAGTGCTATACACTGTAAAAATATTCATTGTTACAATGACAGGCTTGTCTCGCAACGTTTTTAACAAAACATATCACCGGTTTTTCTTGTTTTCAAAGTTTTTCAACATGTCTCCGCTGCTGTCTTGCTGATATCAAGAAATATTACTCACTCTCTCGCATGAGAGTGTTAACCATTAACCAGTGACAACACCACCAGGAACCGTGTCTGATCCCATCACTGCTAGAAATGCAATCCTGAGGAGAAGCTATAGTTGACAGGGTGCGGACTGGGTCCTCGAGTTTACAACACTGGACGATTTGTTCTGAGCCTTGGAATTAGGGACCCTTGAACCCTCTGTGATATTTCATGACCAGTCACTCCCCTCGTCTGATCCTGCTGGGCTCTGACTCACTCACTTTGCTCTTAGTCATCCAGTGCTAAATCCTGTTTGGTTTCTTGCTAACAACGTTGTAGTCTCTGGGGGCTCTGCCTTTGTTTCTAAGGTAGCTTAGTGTGCTGATGTGAGGTCGCTCTCCGTTATCCAGGGAGAAAAGCTCGCCTCCAGATTCTGTCAGCAAACAGCTATGTCATCGTAACACTGGTCCTAGAATGACATGGCTTTTCTAACAAAAAAAACACAAAATGCAAGTGTAGATAATTGCGCAAACAACACTTTAGTCACTCTTTATACTTAACTAGTAATTACAGGGTTGCAGAATCTACATCCGCAGGTACGCTTGCCTAATCATAACACACAGGTTAATAGGCAACTACAGACAACTCACAGACAATACATACCTAAAACAATAAAACACGCACACTCTGTAATTCATTTTCTAATTGCATAATTTGTATTTCATAGCAGTGTTTGTCCGGCCCCACCCATGTGATTATGGACACTGAAAAACATATTTGAATGAACATGTGTTAAGATAATAAGAATATATATTTTAAAGGACTTATATGATCATCCTCACCCTTTTTTGTTTTTTTTTTTTTTATTTATTCTTCCAGATAATGGGAAGTGTAACTGTGGCTACTGCGAGTGTAATGCCGGCTGGAAAGGAGAAAACTGCAACTGCACCACCCGCACAGACACCTGCATGTCCAGCATCGGCCTGCTGTGCAGCGCCCGCGGTAACTGTGAGTGTGGGGTTTGTCACTGCACTCAGCCTGGTGCCTACGGAGCTACCTGCGAGAAATGCCCCACCTGCCCCGATTCCTGCACCATAAAAAAGTGAGTGTTTGAACTGACAAGATGAGAGAATCGATAAAATAACATATAAAAATAAAATATGTAACTTTTGATGTGACTTATTCTCAACCGCAGAGAGTCACACCTCCCAGATGCTGCATTGTTTTAGAAAGAACAAACATTTTAAAGCAGTCGTGAGGCTAAAAACATTAGTTTTTTTACCTAAGGTTGGTATTAGAGGAGATGCCACGGGCTTTATTTCCCTGGGAGCAGGAGTGTGCTCAACAAATTTCATGCAGTAGACCATGAAATTAGTTTATGAGATCCAAATCCTGAGGGTGGTGCAAAAGGAGTGCCCAAACTGGAAATGGCTCATCCTTTGGGGACCATGAATGTGTGCAGTGAACCCACTAGATTATCAAAATCAAAACATTTGCCATTGCAGTGTCATTAAAAGAACTGAAAATATGAGACATGAAATATGGATATCCACAGAAAAAAAATGACAGAAATTCAAATACTGGTTTTCAGTATGCTGTATCATGACATGAACCAAAATGTTGGATTATTTTGACCTGATATTGGCATCAGATGAAGGGATCGATCAAATTATTAGAGATCATTCTGAGGACCATCAATATCTATACCCAATATCATGGCAATCAGGCTAATAGCTGGTGGGATATGTTGCTCTGTTTTGGGCTCAGTGTCAGATCAGCCTATTGACCAATGAAATATCATGTAATTAAAAAAAATATATAAATAATTTTCCTCTTAACAAATTCTCCCATCAATTAAACAACTGACTTTGCAGTGTTCAGGCCCTGCCGCTCGCCGGTAAAAACAATCTGCAGCAAAGAATTTGAGAGCTTACGATTGCTTTAACATTCCAGGATGATAACAAACCTTCCCCCGTGGCCTCAATATGTCAGCAGGTACTAACATAGGTTCATCATCTGATGTACGTGCAGCTAAGCTCTTAGTGTTTCTATTCTTTCATCCACTGCTTGCGTATCAAACTGAACACACTGCCACTAAAGAGACACTGTGAATCGCATAAAGGTTACAGTACGGGACTCTGTTTGCAGGGCGTGTGTCGAGTGTCAGCACTTCAAGAGAGGGCAGTACGCCGAAGACAACAGCTGCAGTAGAATCTGCAGAGATGAAATTATAATCGTGGATAAACTGGGTGAGAAATCTTCCATCTCTAATCTCCATTGTACGTAGTGTAATTCTGACCTGTTGTGGAAAGGCTTTAGTGTTGTTTCCCTGCGGCTGATCACATGAGCAGAATCTTATATGTTAACTTATGATACCTTAAATCATTGCATTACCATGTTTCTTCTTGTTATTATCTTCATCCCACAGTTGTCCATGACAGAAATGCAGTGAATTGCTCCTACAAAGATGAAAATGACTGCGTGGAGCACTTCCAGTACTACGAAGATGAAAGTGGCAAATCCATTCTGTATGTGGTGAAAGAGCCAGGTACTGTTAAGAGTTTCTGCGCATGTTTGAGACAGTTAAACTGTGCATCATGTTTTGGGAACATTATTAGGACAGAATAGTGTGTTCTTGAATGAAATTTCACCCTGTGCCTGGCAGGCTGCAGCATCAGGGGAGCAGTGTGTGCGTCTAATGATATGCTACTCTCAAAAAAACACTTCATCAGCCACTTAACCACAGCTACACTCTGCCACTCCAGAGAAACCCAAATGAATCAGCGTACTGAATTGTTGTGCAGTGGAGAGTCTGACTTGCTCTCTCTGCCCCCCCCCCGTCTGTCAGAGTGCCCCGAGGGCCCAGACGTCTTGGTCGTGCTCCTGGCGGTGGCTGGAGCCATTCTGCTCCTGGGCCTTATTGGCCTGCTCATCTGGAAGCTGCTGGTCACCATCCACGATCGCAGAGAGTTCGCTAAGTTTGAGGAGGAGAGAGCCAAAGCCAAATGGGACACGGTGAGAAATAAATATATTTAAAATAATAACATGTGCTACAGCTTCTCCTTCAGAGACTAATTGAGTGCTGTAACAGAATATGGCTACCCTCTGTGTGAGACCCTCTGTTTTCTTTCCACAGGCTAACAATCCTTTGTATAAAGGAGCCACGTCCACCTTCACCAACATAGCGTACCGAGGCAAATAACAACCAAGTGGGATGAGAAAAACTCAGGGGTCAATGACAAAGGTGGAATGTAGTAGTTCAGAGGTGGATGAGAAGAAGCTCACACTGTCACGTGACAAGCTACTGTAGCTGAAGAGCAGTTATTATTGCTGTCAATGATGTGATGAAATCTTTGTACATAATGTAAAAATAACTAGAAATGTTAATATAAGTCACAGACGGTTTGCATTCTCTTTTCTGTGTTACGCTTTCTCAGTACTGCACATGCAATCAGACTGAAGTTCAAGCAACTCCACTGTCAGGTTACACTTAAGGGAATCACTGTCACTTCTTTTTGGGAAGTCTTGATTGAGATTTTTTTTGGTATTACTTTTTTGTTTTTGCTCACATTTTAAGATGGAAATAGGAATCACCACGAGCTAATAGCAAGAAGTCATCATAGAGAATCTGAGGTCTTTTTCAGTGTCTTCAGGCAGGTCTGATGTATTATTTACACCTAAGGCTTGTTTCATTTGAATCTTAAATGATGTCGTTTTCTCTTTCAGAGTGCAGCTGCAGCCTATTTCAAAAAGCCTTCTTTCGACAATGGCAATTTCGGATGAAATCAGTGAACCTAAAATGTGCACTGTAGGATTTGAATACATTATTACAACATGCTTCAGGGGCTTATATATGCATTACCACTTTCGTTTCTTTTTCTAATACGAAATTGTTTATGGTAATGATTTTGACAAGAATGCAGCACTATGTGGAACAGTTAAACGGTAACTCCAGGATTTTTGAACCTGCAAATGATTTTCCCATGTTTTTGGGTGTAAATGATTTCTGGCAGTTGGTCAACTATTGAGCAATAACAGTACACCCAGCAACTGCTAAACAGCTGCTGCAATGTAAACAACAGGGCATTTGGTTGTGTCAAAGTATGTCCACTATAAGTGCCTGATTTTGCCACTGACAGAGTTGTTATTGTAGGATTAGATCCTTACAGAGATAGGCATTTTTGTTACAGAATAAGATCTTTGTTTAACCAGTTCTAAGTTCAAAGCCAGCAGACTCATTTTACCTCGTACAACACGGGAGATGCTGGTCTACCACTGCCTCGATCAGTTGGTGTGTTTGTTTGTGTGACGTGATCGAATGCCCCGTTATTTACGTTGCAGCAGCTGCTTAGCGTTGCCTGGTATACCGTTCTTGATCAGTAATGGACCGATTGTAAAGATCTTTGTCCCTATCAATCATCTACACTACTTGGTTTACAGTGATGATCGTGGTCTCTATTGTTTTTGAAATCCATACCAATGGTAACTTTATTAATGCTTTGACATGTTTCTTTAACACTGCATCATCACCTGTTTTTGTGTTTGTTGGGCTGTTTTATTGTGAATTTTATTTGTAAAAGTGCTTTAATAATAGTTCTCTGTCCAACCATTGCTGAACTGTAAATAGTTTGGTTTAATAGTTTCAATTTTCTACTGAGCAGCTCTGTGTTTTACTGGTCTTTATTTGTGTATATGGACAGATTTTATTGCACAACATCGGCCACAGTTCCATGTAATTGTTAATAACAAATTTGAGTTCAGTGTGAGGTGTATTTTGGTTGTGCAGCTCTGATCCTCTCTCAGGACATAGCCTGAAAACTCACTGCATACTTGTCTGTTCCATTTGTTTGTTTGTTTGTTTGTCTGTCTGTCTGTCTGTTTGTTTGTTTGTTGTTTGTTTGTTTGTTTGTTTTTTGCACACTTTTTTAAAGAAGTCTGTGATTTAGTTCTAGTTCTTTACACTGAGGGAATGAATAAAGATTTGTTATACCTGACTTCACCAATTTTTGTGTGATTCTTGACATTTGGGTTCGTTTCAAACATCAAAGCTGTTTTTTCTCTGTATTAATCAGACTTACAAAATAGATTCATAATTCAGATCCAAAGCAATAAGTGTTGAAAGCAACTGAATAGAGAAAGTAACTCCTTCTGCATTTACTCTGTGAGATGGTTGTCAAGACAAATCAAATGGCATGGAGTTTTATTTTCGTGCCAATTAATTGTGGCACACCGGTGAACTGGTATTTTCATGTGATGCACAGAGGTTTAGTCATTTGATGACTCTCTGTGCTCTCCAGTGGGAGGGGAGACACAGAAATGGGTGTGGCGATGCAAATCCAGCGGCGCACTGCAATCTCAGTGCCAAGAATGAGTGCGTTATGAGTCTCTTTATAGCCATCTGATGGCAGCAGGTATCTGCTCCACAATAACGTACAGCAGAACCGGTGCTTAAGTTTTGTGAAGCCAGCACCAGACTATTGCAAAATAACCACAGAAACCTGCACATTAAACTATTTTACAGTATCTACTGCAAATGTTGGAGATGGGCTGGTTGAAATCAGTCGACACATTCTCATGAAAAATCGTAGATTGGACTAAAACTTCTCTTTCCACTAATAACGCCATTAGGACCTACTGATTCCCTCTGGTAAAAAGCTGGAGAAATTTTCATATCCATGCTCATGGACAGCCAAGCCACTATGCTGGGACCTGTAAACCCTGTGTAAACCCATGGCTGAGTTCTTGCAGCAACACAGACTAACCAATTAGGAGCCAAGCCAAAAATGGCGTCATCAGGAAGCATTAGTAGCCAGTGAGACAGGCGACCTCGAGCTTATCACCTCATCAGTGAGTGTTCGACATGGACAGCATACTTCTTGCTAAGCTGTACAGAGTGGTTCTCATTCTATTTGCTCTGCACACTGTAGCTACACCTCTTGTTTGAGAGGAAGAGACCTTCCTCCAGTCTGCTTTGTTGGAGAACAAACTGAAATTGATGCGATTGGAAGAAATCCAGAAACAACAGGAAGAGGAAATGGAGTCCGAAATGACAAAGCATATGAGGTCTCATGAATGCAGGGGTTCTTAACCAATCAAATTTCTAGAGTCAGGAGGCTCAGACTGGCAGAGAGAGAGAGAGCTTTAGGAGGCTGAACTAGTTTCAAGCCTTTTATGGACTAAAACACTCATACACACACACACACACACACACACACACATACACACATGCACGCACATGCACACACACGCACACACTCCCCCTAAAGACACAGCACTGTCACATTCTTTGCCTTTGTCCTCTCCCTTGTTTGGAAAAGGGAAATAAGGATGCTCTTCATGCGGTTCTGGGAAGTCAGTCCATCCCTGAGCCAGGGCGTCACACTGTACTTGTGGGGGTTGAGGGGAGCTTGAATACCAAACCGTTTGGATATATATAATCCAACATGTCTGATTCTGATCCTGTCATCCCAAATATGCTGCTCATGGGGTGATGGGATGCTTCCCTTCTTCAAGTTGGCAACATAGATGGCAACATAGTCAAACTCTGACTTACAATTTGAGGGCAAGTTTCATTTGTCAATATCTACCAAACCTGCAACCTCGACCTAAGAAGCAGAAGGACACAACTAGCCTTCAGTGTGGACAGGTAGTGATGATGGATCCTCAACTGCCTCGCTGTCATAGGTGCATTCGGAAGATGACCCAAGTGCAACCATGGTCAGACAGACGTGTGTCCATCCAGCTCCAGATACTGAGAAATAACATTTTTTTGTTTAGGAAGGTTCAAACTGAGTGAAATGACCTGGAAGTATCAGAGGAGGAGCCATGATAAGAGCGGGTCCAATTCTCTAAATGATAAGGAAAGGAGCTTCAATGCTTCCTATCTTATCTCCTTTAGCATACGAAACACCGGAACTTCCTTTTTGACAGGAAAAGAGAAAATGCTGTCCCACAATTCCTTGCTGCAGCGACATTTAAAGCGACGCACTATTGTAGTTTCACCACGGCAGACCCACATAAATGTAGAAACAACAGAGAATCAGTTTGTGCCACGATCCAAAACTGATGGAAATCCTTACATGATCGACTGAGCTCCAAATCCATAAATATAGATTTCTTCTCTTTCAGATCTGTCCAGGTAGGAGTCATCATGAAGAAAGAGCATATTGAATTTATACTTAACAATATCATCATTAAAACAAAATTCTAAATGTTGTTTGACTAACTCCCCTCCTGTTATGGAACGCACTAAAAATGAATTTTCTCTTCTTAACACATACAAACAACATACATACAAAAATGTCAAATCTGCACATGTCAGGAGACTCTGTATACTTCAGTCTGAGCTCCTTATTTTTATTTTTATCATTCTAATGACTCTATTTCCTCTACTTGTGTATTCCTTTCATATTATCTTATTTCAACATTTCAATTCTGTTCGCTTTCTTCTTGTGGTTAGGAGAGGAGTATATTTCGTCCATGTGTTATGAATAAAGTTAGTTTATGAAAAAAACTAGTGTAAATGCAGTTGGATTCTATCCACATCACAGTTGTCTTTTCCTAAGTTCTTATGAATTCTCCTTCACATTTTCCTCGACCTCATGACGTTTTCCTTCCATACATGACTGCTGGAGTGGGAAGCACATGAGCACACTTAATGGAAGCAGGAACAGATGTTGAGGTTGAGCTGCATCATCATGTGATGAGTGAGTAGTTTATTCCATTTTATTTGATATTCCAAGTCACGTTTACTTTGTCACTGTAAAACTGTACATCTAAACTTTGTATTATGAGTTGAAGCAGGGAGGAATCAATGTAAAGATTGATGTAATTTAGAGTTGAGTCTGTAATCAAGATAATGTGATAGAATTTGATACTTTCTTTCAACTGTAGAAATGAAGCCACTCAACTATACCTTACTCTGCTTTCAGGTGGAACCTTGCTTCTCCTTCTCTGCTCATGCAATTAAGTCAGTTCCAGTGTTTTGGTGTAAAACAATGTGGTCGTTTGAAAAATATTACTAAATAGATGTCAGTGTATGGAACTGAGAATGTTGCCAATCTCTTTACACTATCAAAAATATTTCCTGTTATACTGCCCTTGTGGTCAACTGTCATTTCCCCTCTTCTTTATTTACTTCTTATTTACGTCACTTTGTTTGCAAGGAGTGGTTTTGAGAGAGAGAGAGAGAGAGAGAGAGAGCTCATGAGCTGTTGAATTGTGCAATTTCTGTCTCAGCGTTCTCCACATACATGTGTGTCAGAGACTGACACAAATAGGCCTTAGCAAAGATAATCCTGGCATATGTCTCCCTCTAGTGTATGAACACTGCACTGCTCAAAAGCTGCAGCATACCTGTGAACGCGCAGCCTGAAAGTCTTGTGCAGATCATTTTGTTGTCAAGCAGCGTTTAGTAGCGTGTAAACGGCTGGATTACTATAGCCTGGTTGTGAGTTATCAGTAGAGCTAATTGTATGCTACCTATGCATCCATCGATATCTCGATAAAGAAGCGTGTCAACTTCGCGGGTCTCGCACAGTATGGCACACATATAAATCACGACCACTTATGCCCAGAATAGGTCTTATGATGCAGTCTGTTCTTTGGCCAAGGGATAATAGGAACAGCTCATTATAATGTGGCGAAGAATAACGCAGATACGTAGTATTGCGGAAACAGACAAAACTACAGAGGAAAAGATAACAAGGGAAAATGTTCCGAGTTATGTGTAACCAGTTTTACTGAGTGGAAACATTTCAGTCGCAAATATTTACAGCCGATGAAACAACATAATGCGTTAAAAACATTCTAACCACTGTTAAAATGCTTTGCATCCAACTCCTGTAACTTTTTGTACGGGTTGCATTTCTATTATCAGTCTTCAATTTAATATTTCTGATAGTCTTTGAACGCAGCATGCTTAAACGTACTGCCCTTCTTCCGTCGCGTCAGTTCCAACATGGCGGCGCCCCATGCCGTGGACGGAGTGGAGCGAAGCAGCAGCGAAACAGGGCTGATTCTGTCAGATTCATCCACCGGAGATGTAAAGAGACCTCAGTTCGGGACACGTTTCCTCACAGACCCGCGGCAGGTCTTCCAGCACAACGCATGGTCGGTGACTTAAGCAAGAAATCCCAGATGTGAAAGCTATCATTTGTTAGCTATGGCTTGCCATTGATTATGATTTCTGTTTTGATTTCTGTTTATTGTTTTGATTGAAGATCAATGTCTTGTTATTTTTGATGCAATGATATATACATATATTTGCTGCTTGTAGAGGAACTCTCACATAATTTCAGCTCATATCATCTGAACATACAGTAGGACAGGGTGTTAAATGCTAAGATAATGCTAATACCAATTAAGTCAATTTGTTATAAAATGATAGTTAGGGCAATTGGGGCTGCAACTTAAGTAAATCATGTGGTCATGTCCCAAAAACCCAAGTGAAGTCTTCAAATGTCTTGTCTTGTATGGCCAACTGTCCAAATCCCAAAGATATAGTTTACTATATGTTTGCATCCAATAGTATTCTGTTGTCTAAATTAACTGTATGAATTGTTCTGGATAAGATCTGTATCCCAATATCACAAAATGACATTTGAATGAAAATTTAATTATAGTTTTTATACTTTTTGTCTTGCAGTTCCGATACATACATTTATGAGTTTGCTTATTTTGCACATCTAATTATATCAGAGCTAATATAATGTATCTCCATCCTGATAGGGCAGGAATTCAGCACATCACTTACCCCACACTGGATAATAGTTTTGTGTTGTCAACAGGGACAATGTGGAGTGGACTGAGGACCAAGAAGCAGCTGCTAAGAAGAAAGTCTCAGAAAACAGTCAGCCTCTACCTCCAGAGAAACAAGGTTGCATTGTTGTTGCCTTGACTCATGACTCGTACACATAAACCAAACAATGTGACCGGCCTCAAGGATTCAGTAACGGAACTACAACTGTTTCTAATCAAGAGGACAGTGTACCCCAATGT